ACCAGGGCTCCTTATTGAACTACAAATCCTTCATAACTTAATCTTAGTAGAGGCCTTATAAAGAGAAGAACAAGACATACGCAGTGGGGAGCATAGCCATGTTAAGAACAATCTTTAAGCCAAGGAGCCTCAGAAATACCCGTGTCTCCTTGATGCTGGGAGGGACAAAAAAGGAGAGTATAGCTATGCCAGTGTCATAAATATGGAGTTGTAGCTTCCTTAACTATGAGACAATACATTTCTGTTCTTATCTGCCACCTATTTTCTGGTACTTTGTTATGTTACATGAGCCCCCGGAAACTAAAATAGGCCATGAAAAAAAAAAAGAATAAGATAGGCTGAGAGCACAATAGACAGGGTCCTTAAGAAAGTAGCATTTGCTTCATTTCTGTGAAAATGCAACTGTATCTCCATGTTGAGTGTTTCTTGAACTGAAAATCAGTCTGCGCAGAGGTGAGTCTCTAGGCAGTAAGTTATAGATTGGGCCGTGTTCCCGCAAATATGAGCTAAGAAACTTGTTATTATTATATGCTATTGAGTCAGTTCTGGAGTCCTGGTGGTGTAGTGGGTTATAGATTGGTTGGGTAACCACAAGGTCAGAAGCTTGAAGCCACCAGCCACTCCATGGGAGAACGATGAGGCTTTCTACTCCAGTACAGCGTTACCGTCTTGACACCCAGAGGGATAGTTCTATCCTGTCCCACAGCATCACAGTGAGGTGGAAGCAACTCAATGGCAGTGAGAGGTATGCATAAGAGAACAAAGCACTGCATAGTCTTACGCCATCCTCACTATTTTGCCACGTTTGAACCCCTTGCTGCAGCAACTGTGTGGATCCATGTTCTTCAACTATTTCTCACCGATCTCTACTTCAATGAGGGTGATATTATTCTCCAGGGATTAGTCTCTCCTGATAACATATCCAAAGTCTATTCCCTCCACCGCTCCCCACCCAGTCAATTTTAGCTCATAAAGAACACCCTAACTGTACTTCTTCCAAGGTGTATTTGTTAATTCTTTTGACAGACCATGATATATCCAATATTCTTTGCCAACACCATAATTAAAAAGTACCAATTCTCCTTTGTTCATTTGTAAACACTTTGTAAATGTAAAAATGTAAAAAATGTAAAAAACATTTCCCAGATGTTATATGCATATAAGGCAATTAAAAATAGTATGCATTGGGTATTGTATCTTAGTACTCAAAATGGTATCTTTTCTTTATAACACTTTAAAGAGGTCTTCTGTATTGTCTCTGAGTTAGAATTGCCTTGACATTAATTTTCAATGGATTTTGCAACAAACTTTGCCAATGTAATTTGTTGGAGCCAATTTAGTGTAGTATAATTACCTTCCACAATGCAATCTAATGTAACCAATGCGTTGGGTCATAGCAGTGTAGGGTGGATCCTAAACTCCATCACTTCTGAGTTATATATAGATCAGCTTAGACAGACATGTGAGTACACACAAGGGAAAAGAGATGGCATACAGGGATTGTCAGAACCAAGAAATACTACAGGGATATTGGCAAGGGAAAAAAAAAATCAATAGGACAAAGACCGGATTTAGAATTTTTGCCTCCATATCTGTGGGAGAACTTATTTCTGTTCTTTGTGGTATTTTTATTACAGTAGCCTTAGGAAGGAAGCTAAGATACATGGGAAAGGATCATGTCAGGCTTGTATAAGGGTTGGCAGTTCGGTGGAAAGGAGGAATAAAGCTAGTTGCAGAGATGCTGAGCAACTTTTATGAAGGGGAGATTTGAATGGGTCAGGTGTGAAAGGCAGGATTGTGATTGACGACGAAAATATGAGAGATCTTTCAAGGCAGAAAACAGCTGGAGGCGTTTAGGAAAGAGAGAATCACATAAAATTGATGGAGCCTGGGGAGAGATCTTTGGCTAGAAAAACATTTGTTGTACATTTGTATGTGCCAGACATTTGGGCTTTATGGAGAGAAGATGAACATGACAGAAACTAGCCAGCCTTCATGGAGCTTACTGATGCTAAAGAGGTAAATGAGACAAGGAAATATGTACATTTCCCCCAAATAACATCAGATTAGGAAAAGGACCATAAGGAAACTACACTGTGAAATGCTACAGAGAGTATAGTGGGCAGAGAGAGCTGCTACAGAAGAGGTATTTCTGGGAAAACCTCTCTGAGGAGGTGATGTGGGAACAGAGACTGGAGGCTTCAATAAGATGGGAATAAAAGAAAAGGAGAAGATAAGTAAATAAATTATATATATATACATATGTATATGAATAGGAATGCATATACTTACATACACATAGGGCACTGCAGGTATATAGGTCCTGAGGGAGCAAAGCTTAAAAGAGTATTAAGAATCATCCAAAAATATAATGTGACTACATTCTAGACAGTAGATATTTGCTATTTTGGGGAATGGGAAATATAAAACCAAATGTGAATGAAGTATGCACAAGTGGGTCCAAAGCAAATGATGTTACAGAGAAGTATGCAAGCACAAAAGAAGTTTTTGGTAAATATTAGAATATGTAATTATATAACACGGCAACAAGTTCATTATGAGTGTGGGCACATGTGTATGGATGCATACAAGAATATAGATATTGTATGGTACCAACATACAACAGGTTATATGGTGGTGGTGTTGCATGCTAACAGGTGCTGGGGGTGCAGGGGGTGCCAGAGGGAAGGACCTAATGGCTGGGTATGAAAAACAGAGAACAAGAAATGCACCTGCTTCACTTCCTGGCTCTCAAGTGTGAAAGAATAGATAGTTAACACTTGATAGGACTCCTAAATCTTCATTTTCTCTTCACACGAGAAAAGAAGAAATCCTTTGTTGGATTTTCCTGATGAGCCAGTAAAAAGATTTGGGAAGTATGTTGGGGAGGCCAGTGTGAGAATCTGTCAACAACAGACTATTGGAGAGGATCTCTGGACTTCTTGTAGTGCGTGTTCTCCACGAGGACTTGTCGTGTGATGGAACCACATTGTGGAGAGTCTTGAATGGCAGAAGAGTTTGTGTTTTACCCCAGAGACAAAGGAAGTGGCAGTGAGTGATGCTGGTCTCAGTTTGAGTAGCAAATTGTCATAGTCAAATCTAGGCTTTAGGCAAATTCGTTTTCTAGCCATGTGAGTAAAATGAAGCTACTGATCCAAGACATGAGCACTGAAAATATTAGGAAGAAATGAAGGTTGTGAGAGAGGGTGAAGAAGAGCCCGTGGCTGGAAGTATGGAGGACCAGGGAAATGAAGGATTGGGAAGTAATACCCGTGTTTCAAGTCTAAGTAGCAGGTGAATAGGGTTTGGAAGAAAATTAATGGGTTTGGTGTTTGGCAAACCAGAGATAATGGACTAACAGTAGTTAAAACAAATGCTGGAGAGATTTGACAACGGGTGAATCACTGGGCACTTGCCCTGTTGTCTGCAGTTAGTGCCTTCCCAGATTGAGGGTCATCAAGGGACAGAGCAGGATCCCAGGAAGCAACCTAGTGATTTTCCCTGATGTAGCTTTGGACTCACAGGGTAGTGCCAGAAATTTTATCACCTAAGGTAGGTGTGCAAGTGTGAAGTGCCATTCCCAAGGACAAAGGAAGCCTTCCAGACATTGCACAAGGTGAGGAGCTCAACCAAGTTAAGGCTATTGGAGTGTGGTCATTCATTTTCCTAGCCTTAGTATCCTGGCAAAGCATAGAGTAGGAGTAGG